ACAACACGGTCCCTCACCCTTGATCCCTGCCAGGCACCCTCCCCCAGGGCCAGTCAATGATCACGGCTGTGGTTATTATTACTCTAGTTCAAGGCTGCCTTGCTTCCTGCTTCCTGCTTCCCAGGTTACAGTTCTCTGTGTCTCCGAGCTTTTGACTCCCGGCTGGCCCGGGGCCCACAGAAAGATCCCCGATCGTGCCAGTCCTCTGGGAGAGACTCTGCTCGTCCTGTCCTGTGCAGGCCCCGGGAAGACGTCTTGTCGGTTGCAGAAGGAACACGTTGTTTTATTTTATTTGCTTATTATGGAAGGGTAATTGACATGCAGTGTCAGTTTCAGGCGTAGATGACTACATCCCAGTCATTTGGCAATTCTGTACATTACTCAGTGCTCACCGCGATTAGCATAGTCACCGTTGGGTGTTATTGCAATGTTATTAACGGTCTTCCCTCTGCTGTCTTCTTTTCCTTCTTTTTGTCAGAGTCCTTTACAAGTCAGGCACTTTCCCTGCCTTTGGATCCTTCCAAACAACCTGGGAGACGGGTGGTGGTTTCTTCTGCTTTTACATGTCAAGGAGTGGGAAGCCCAGAGAGGTTAAGCCGCTAGCCCGGAGGTCACACAACTTGTAAACTCTCCCGGGATCTCAGGTCCAACCCCGAGGCCTCCCCTGTCCCCAGAAAGTCACGTCTCTCTCTATGACCGGGGTGGGGGGAAAAAGAGGGGGTTTTTGCTCTTCTCAAAAATCACTGGGATGTGACATTTACAAATACAAGATGAGGGTGATAATCTTGGACAGAGATTAGGCTGATCTCTGAGAAACTGATCTGCCTGATTGAGCAGAACCAGGAAGCCAGAGCAGGTGGAGCTTGGGAATGGTCACCTCTAAGGAGAGGGGTGGTGTCTCCGGGGACTGCCTGCCCCCCCCCCCCCACTCACTGCTGCCCCCCAGCCCCCAGAGCTGCTCTTTTAACACCTCTCTCTTACCTCAGTGCTCAGTGGAGACAGAGTAGCATTTAAAAATAATAATTTTACCTTCTCTGCACGTATTAACCACACAAAAAAATATTTTTGAATCGTACTAAATGTTAAAGTAGAACGAAGAGGAAATAAACAAAGAAACGCCAGAAGTGTCAAAGCCAATCTGGTTTCAAGAGCTGAGTTTCTGATCCTGCGATAAGGTGCCAGCCCCCAAACACCGCTATCACCTCAAAGGCTCTCTGCCTGGCTTCCTGCCCACCCGCCTGTCCCCGGTGTCTGCTGTCCCGGCCACTTCCTGCCCCTCTCCTGGAACCCTGGATCGTCTCTTGGCCAAGGCCAGAGACCGTCTTCATAGCCCCTTGGGCTTCTCTGAGCCTTTTGAATTTTCCGGACCTCCTCAGCCTGCTCCTTAATTCCAATTTACCCCCTTGGCAGCGGATTGGCAGATCTGTGATGACTGACGCAACCGCCGTCCAATGAATTAACTCCGGAGCCCTCCCTGCAGGGCTTCTGTGTGAGGTCGCGCGGGTTATTGACGGTGCAAAGGTGCTGAGAGGAAAGGTGGGCTGACGCCAGCCCTTGCCAAGCCACGCGCCCTCAGTGCCGCATTCCTCCCAAAATGACATCTTCTCTGTATTTGTCTCTAACGCGTCCGGCCAGAGAGTCACCTCCTTTTGCCTGGCACCCAGGCAATTGTATCTCAAAGGTACAAGGGCAGCATCATGGGGCACAGCCCCGTGCATTTTCTCTGACGGATGTCGCTGCCTGGCTGCTAGAGTAAATGAACTTTCCTGGCCCCTTTGGCCGGACCACGGAGCCCCTGTGCCAGACCGTGGGCTCAGCCACGCGTCCCCCCTCCCGGGGAACAAGCCTGCAGAATCTTTCGTGTTTGTCCCAAGGGTCCACCGACCTTCCTAGTGCTGCCGGGGGCTCGCCGGACACGGAGGAGTGGGTGACAAGAAAACAAGCCCCGGGGAGGTGGGTCGGGGGTGGGGTGGGGGGCAGAAACAGCATTTCACGGGTGATGACTCTTGGGTGGCTGGGACATCTTCCTCACCCTCCTCAGCAGAGGCCTCCAGGGACCCTTGTCTGTTCCTGGCCCGTGGCTCCCTAGAGGGGTTTCCCTCCCAGGCCCTGGGTTTCTGGGGCCTCGGCCTGCGGGCCGCACATCGCGGCCAGTCTCTTCGTGACCTTGGAGAAGTTGCTTCTCTGTGTGGGTCTCAGTCTTCTCGTCCGTTAAGTGGGGGCACGATCGCTCCCTCCCCGAGTTATGTCAGGTGGGCGGACGCTGAGCGGGCAGCCTCCAGGCCGGGCATCGGCGCGGTGTAGATGTTAAGTTAAATAGAGTCTCTGCCCCTCCTTCCTTGCTCCAGGTCGCCATGGGGATAGCTGCCCTGGGCCTCCTCTGCGCGGTGCTTCTGTTCCCTCTCTTGGTGCTTGGGGTCCCCACCCAGGAGCCCACCTCTGGGGAAGCTGTGGCCTCCGGTCCCCCTGGGTACTGTCGCCGGTGCTGTGACCCTGAGGACTCCCTGACCCCCGCCGACGAAGCAGATGTGTCCTCAGCCTCTCCATCTGCCCTCCCGTATGTGCTGCCTGAGGTCAGGCCCTACATTAACATCACCATCCTGAAGGGTGAGTGCCCACACGTGGCTCAGGCTAGACGGGTCCGCTTGGGGATGGGGAGGGCCTGGGGGGGTCTCTTCCCGGGCTGGGGTCAGTGAGGTGGAGGGAGCAGGAAACACCAGGACGGAAGGCTGTCCGAGACCCTTTCTTTCATTCGCACGTTTATTGAGCACCTGCTATGTGCCAGCACTGTTCTGGATTCTGAGGACTGAGCGTGAACAAACCAGACAGAGAAGCCCACTGCCACGGAGCTCCCGTTCTAGTTGGGGAGGCAGACAGTGAGCAATAAATATATTACCGCGTTAGGCAGACAGAACGTTGGATGGTGAAAAATGCTATGGCAGTGGTGAGTAGAGCAGGGCAAGGGGCATCAGGAGTGCAGGTAAAGGGGGGGGAGGTTGCATATTAAATGGGGGTGGTCAGTGTAGTTTCAATGAGAAGGTGAGGGAGAAGTCATGTAGATATCCGGGGAAGAGTGGTCCAAGGTGAACAGCAGGTGCAAAGGCCCTGGGGCAGGAGTGGGTCTGGTGTGTTTCAGGGGCAGGGGACAAAAGGAGGAGCTGAAGTTGGAGGTGAAGCAAGGACCCGATCAGACTTGGGCTTCCCCTCTGAGTGAGATGGGGAGCAGGGGGGGGCTCAAGCAGAGGGAGCTGATCCCACTTGGGTTTCAAATGGATCCCTCTAGTGTTGCACGGCGAATAGCCAGCAGGGGACCAGGGTGGAAGCAGGGACACCCGTGGGCAGCCCCTGGGGCTGTCCAGGTCGGAGCTGGCTCTCTGTCCTCTAAAATCAGGAAGAGGCTTCTGCTGCTGGGGCCTGCGGGCAGCTGGGCTGGGGCCAGGCCCTAGACCCCCGTCACCTCTGCCTGCGCTGACAACCACCCCAAGAGCTCGGAACTTTGTCATTCCTCCCCCCCTCCCCCCCACTTTGCAGATGGGGAAACTGAGCCCCCGAGAGGGGAGGAGCTGTGCTAGGAGCACACAGCTGTCAGGAGCAGAGCCAGGGTCTGGCCCGAGGTCTCCGGAGGGCCAGGGCTCGGCTGGCCTCTGAGACCCTCCGGCCCTGAGATCTCACGGGTGAGGACGCCTCCCTTCCTCCACGTGGCCCTCCGAAAACCCTGAGTCGAGGAGGACACGCCCGGGCCAGACTTAGTTGCGGGAGGGGCGGGGGTGGACCCTTGGCCGCGGTGCAAGGCTCCTGGCTGGCGTCAGGGCTCCCGGGTCCCAGCCCCGGCTGCTGGGCACCTCTGCCCTGTGGGTCAGGCTCGGCTCTCCCTCCCTGGCTTGCTGCCTCACTTGTAAAACGGAGAAGGAGACCCCCTCCTAAAACCACTCTTCACCCCCTCCTCCCTCGGGGCAAAGAGGTGCTCCATAAACTGTAAAGTGCCGGGCACGTGATGAGACCATTCTCTGTGGAGGCCGTGGAGCCAGAGCGCTGCGGACCCCTTTGTCCCCGCTTCTCTCCAGGCCTCTCCTCCCAGGGGCTGGGCCCTCCTCCCCTCTTCCCACGGGTGTGGCCACGGTCCTAGGAGACCTTGGGGAACCACAGGGCCCTGTGGGTCTCTCAAAGGGGAGGGGCTGATGGTGCGATCATCAAATATGTGGGGTCAGGTACCTGGAGACACAGGCGGTCGCCTGCGTCTCCTGAGTTCAGGGTCGGCCTGGAACAAAGGCTGGGCAGAGGCGTGCGTGCCCGAGGACCAGGTTAGACGCTGCCGGACCCCAGGGCAGGCAGGGACGGGCTGAGCCTCGCTGGGTGGGCCATCCCACCTCGCGAGTGTGGGCTGTGGCGCACTGTCCCCTAGGACATTTTGTTGAGGGCCCAGGAGCACCCCTGCGAGGTGGACGTGATCCTTCTTAAGATATAGACAAGGCAACCAAGACCCTGACCGGGAAACGCCCCGGTGGGACATAATCCCCACCCAGGGCTGCCTGGCTCCTACCCAGGGCTTTTCCCTTCGGGGAAGCAGAGGTACTTTTCTTGGGTTCCTTCTCTGGGTCAGAAAAGCAAAGCGCATCCTGCACGTAGCCCACGTCTCCACTGCAGTCTGGCTGGGGGTTTGGGCCTGGCCTCCCAGGGGCCACACCACGCCTTCACTGTAGGGGGGAGGGGAACAGGCAGGCGGAAGACAGACCCTCCTGAGTCTTGCGTTACCTGCTTCCCCTGAGCTGTGTGACCCTGGGTGACTCCCTCAACCTTCCTGGGACCGGAGACGGTCATGGTATCTTCCTTAGACGGGCATTCAGGGAGGTGAGGGCTGGCATGCACCAAGGGGCTCTGTAAACGCTGGGTCCCGCACTGGCCTCCTTCTCGCGTCTTCCGCAAACCCACGGAGGGACTCCCTTGGCGCAGGCCTGGGCACCTGCCCTGACTTTCCCCTTCTTGTCCCCACAGGTGACAAAGGGGACCGAGGCCTACTGGGCACCCCCGGGAAGCTGGGCAGGGAGGGTCCCCGGGGGGAGCGCGGCCCGCAGGGCACCAAGGGCGCCAAGGGGCAGGCGGGCAGCCCCGGGGGCCCGTGCCGGACGCGCTTCTCCGCCTTTTCCGTGGGCCGCAAGACGGCCCTGCACAGCAGCGAGGGGTTCCAGCCGCTGCTCTTTGACACCGTCTTCGTGAACCCGGACGGCCACTTCGACCTGGCCACCGGCCACTTTGTCGCCCCCCTGCGCGGCCTCTACTTCTTCAGCCTCAACGTGCACAGCTGGAACTTCAAGGAGACATATGTGCACGTCGTGCACAACGAGGAGGCGGCCGTCATCCTGTACGCGCAGCCTAGCGACCGCAGCATCATGCAGAGTCAGAGCGTGATGCTGGCCCTGGGGCCCGGGGACCGCGTCTGGGTGCGGCTTTTCAAGCGCGAGCGGGAGAACGCCGTCTACAGCGACGATGTCGACACCTACATCACCTTCAGCGGCCACCTCATCAAACCCGAGGAGGACTAGCGCCTCCAGCGGGGGCCACTCCGGCCGGGGGGTGGGCTGGGGGCAGGGCGGTCCCCTGCGAGGCCTCAGTTTGCACCTCCGTAAAGTGGGCCCCCGGGACCTGGCGTTCTGGATGGTCTTCCTCTTCTTTTCTCCCCTCCATCACCCCTTTCTCTCCTCTCTTGGACCTATCTTAAGAAGCCCTCTGACCTAAACGTTCTAGAATTTTCCCAGCCTTTTAAACCGGCACGTCCCGGACTTGAACGTGCATCTGAATGACTTTGGGGGCTGTGCCAAAATGCAGATTCCGATTCGGATTCTGGAGGGGGCCCGTGATTCTGCATTTCTAAGACGTTCCTGGGTGGTGCTGATGGGGCTGGGCTGTGGACCCCGCTTAAGCCACCAGATTCTAGAACTTTCACACGCTTCTACTTTCGGAACATTCTGGAAGCCTCCAGAACATTCTCTTCCCAACATCCTCCCATTCTCGCATCCCTCTGGGGCTCCCCCTCCTCTGTTCTCTTGCCCCTCCCAGCCCACCCTCCGGAAGGTGCCTGGCTCCCAGGTGCTCGCTGACCCTCCTTGGCCTCTCTTGCCAGCCCAGCGTCCCTGGCTTTCCAGGCTTGGTTAAGGTGCTAAAGCCCTGGTGGGCGTCTCCTGCCCAGCAGCGCCTCCTCTGGCCCGATGCCGCCTTTACACATGCCACCGGGGAGTGGGCCGGGCTTTGGACCCCTCAGCAGGTCTAGGGAACTGAAGCGGCCAACATTCCGGGTCAATCAGGGGAAGGCTCCTCTGAGCCATGAAGCCAAGACAGGCACCGGGAGAGGCCAAGGTCAAGTAAGGGGACATCAGGCTTTCTGTCCTTTCTCCCCCTCCCAGGGTGGGCCGGCATGGCCGCGTCCAGCCTTCCCCTCCCCCCATCCCGGGTGGCCTGAACCTCTCTCCAGAGGGAGATGGCCTCCGCCCATTGGTGCTTACACAGACCCCGGGGCAGAGGTGGCCCCAGTGGTGGTTTCTGGTGCTCACTCATAGCCAACGGACCCATGGCTACGTGGCTGGGGGCTGGCAGCGGGACCTGAGCAGGTGCCATCGAGGCTGGCACTCTCCCAGCCGCCCCCCCAGCCTGACTTCCGCCCCTGCCCTGCTTGTCCAGAGTGATTAAAGTTCGTGTGTCTCTTTGGCAATGCGGGCTGGTTCTTTCTGCTCGGCTTCCTCTGCCCACCTTGGGAGGGCGGCCCGTCCCGGTGCTGCCGGTGCCCCCCGGGGAAGGCTCAAGAGACGGAGGCAGCCCAGGGCTCCTCTCCGTGTGCTTCCCACCCACCAAGACACCGGCCCCCTTTGTCACTCATCCGCCAGGGCGCCCCGGGGCGGCCAAGCTAGCGCGTGGTGGCCACTCACGTAAATATAGTTACAGTTGACGTAACCCGTGCAGGCTCCCCTCACAGACTCGACGGGACATCCTGCACCCCTGGGCCTCCCTGTTGCTGTGTGAGATGGCTTCTTGGGTACTGTGTGCGAGAAAGAGCTGTGCAGGAGGAACGGCCCCCCGGACTCAGCCTAGCCCAGCCCGGTGACCCACCCAGGCAGGGGGTAGACACAAGTCTTCGAGTCTTTGGAACCTATATGGCCACGGAAGTTTTCCCACTGGACCTGAACTCCCTGCGGCTCTCACTCAAGGGGCTCCTAACAGGTCAGGGGCTACTCAGGGGGAGGCGATCCCAGGGCCTGCTTTCCGTCCAGGCTCTGTTCATGCGCCATTGGCCTCACCAGCACGCCCT